CTGCCTATGCGCAACCCCATGGTGCACGCGCGCTGATGTTTTGACGTGCGCGCGTGCCTTATTGAGCGCGGCGCAGGGGTCTTTAAGCGCGAGCTGAAGCGCGCTCATACGGTTTCACAGACGGAGGGAGCCACAGAAATCTCATAGTGAGCGAAAAGAGATGTCTGATCAGTGATCACATCTCCTGGTTCGGTCGGCTAGCTCAGTGGGAGCCACAGAAATCTCATAGTGAGCGAAAAGAGATCTCTGATCAGTGATCACATCTCCTGGTTCGGTCGGCTAGCTCTGTAGGTCTCATGCCGGAGCAGCACCTAGCTCAGTAGGTTTCATGCCGAGTGCTGCGAAGGAGCCGAGTTGTTTCCCCTTGCCGCCACTTTCAGTGGCCTTGAGGATTGGTGGCCATGAGAGGCCGTTAACGGAAGCCATGGGGTTCCCCATTAACCATGTGTGGTGGCCATGGGCAGGTTCAGTGGCCTTACGAGGATTGGTGGCAATGGGCAGTCATCACTAGTAATTTGCAGGGGTGAGTTGTGCCACCCCTGTACCCTGTAGCAATGGGGAAACATCAGGCCAACTGCAAGTGGCTGCTCAGGTCCTGCTGCGGCCGGTCGGTACACACCCAATGCACATCCAACAAAAAGAGCTCTCAGGTTGAGTTCTCAGTCAGTATCATCATGGTTGACATTCATGGCTCGATCACGATTCCTATTCTAGGGGTTCAGCCCCTGAGAGACCCTTTTTTTTTCTTTTTAAGCCCTGGAGGCCAGGTTCCAGACATACGGTGGTGGCAGTCATCAGTCATGTGACAAACTACTTCCGAAACCCGTGCTATCTTTCATACCCCTTTGGTTTGAATTTTTCCTGTACCATACCGACCCTACAAGCACCCCGTTTGTTTTCTTGATTTCGGGCGCCGCGTTTTGGGGCCCCATCTTCCGGAAGCTTTTTGTGATTCTTCGGTTCTGCCTTTTCTTTTTGCAGTTCAGGACATGCATAGGAATCTACGCGCGCCTTAGCGAGCACACTAGGAATTGGGCCCGACAGTTGGGAATTCCAGGATAAGCGGAACTTCAACGTGTCCTTTTTGCGTGTGAATGTTCTCAGTTGCATTGGGGAAAACTCTCAGAATTTTGTAAGGATACGAATAGGCGTAGGACTTTCTTTTCCTGCGTCGTCTTTTTCGCGCGCGGATATGGTGATTTCAATTTTGAATTGGTTTAGAACGTAGGCAAGCTGTAACTGTTTCGGTGCCTTTTTCTTTTTTTCTTGTTGACGGCGCCACGCATACGAAGCTTTCCTCTCTCCTCCCCCCC